CAAGGAAGAGGTGACAGCTTTTGAGTTCTTGCCTGAGCAGAGAACAGGTTTCTACAAGGCTCCATGCCAGCCTTGAGGGGTCTCTGGACAGAAAATATTCCCCACTTAGACTCCAGAAAGCCTCCATTACACTAGGCGCTGATCCCTTCATCAGATGCTGCCTGTGTGTGCGGACTCATGTTGGGGTCTGAGGACAGAGACAAGAACGGGCCCTAGAATTGGGGAGTAGGGGCCCCAGGATGCTCGTGCAAAGATGCGACCATGCTGCATCACATGCCCCTGCAGCAGAGCACCGAGAGCTGCAGGATGCATCCTGGCACAGGGGACATGGGACAGCAGGAGAACCAGAGTCTTCCAGGCAGCCAAGGTGGGGAGAAAAGGGGTCCAGAAAGAAGAAACTGCAGGGGTGGTTCTAGGCTCCAGTGAACAGAGGCTTGAGGGTTTAGCTGGCTATGAGCATTTCAAGGGAGCTGTTTGATCTTTTATTCTCACTTGGCATCATCAGTAAAACAGGACTACAAATGCCCACCTCTTAGGGCATTGTGATCATCAAATAAGGTAATAACTACAGAGTTACATATACCGTAAATGGCAACTGCCACTTTGTGTTATTTTTTTAAAAAATATATCCATTACAAATATATATATACACATACATACATACATATATATCTCCATTACATCAGCCTTCATTTTTGTGCATTTTTCTTCATGAAATTCCCACCACCAATTCATCTGTGCACCATAATCCCTTGTGCCCTTCCTACTGTCCTGAACCTTCTCCCTCCTGCCCTACAGAATGTCTCTGATCTATATTTGCCTGATGATTTTGATTTTTACTTTATTACAGTTACTTTTTTTTTCCGATTCCTTTTTTGCTTTCTCTACATTCCTCCTATATGTGAGACCATTTACAGTTTTCTTTTTTTTCTGGCTTATTTCACTGAGCATAATCACTTCCAGTCCATCCATGTTGCTGTAAAGGGCATGAGTTTATCCGTTTTAATTGCTGAGTAATCTTCCATTGTGTAAATACACCACATCTTTTTGATTCCATCATCTATTTTTGGCCATTGGGTTGCTTCCATAGCTTATCTATTGTAAATTAGACTGCAATAAATATAGGGGTGCAGGCATCCTTTTGAATTAATGTTTTTGTGTCCTTTGGGTAGATTTCTAGGAGTGGAATTGGTGGATCATATGGAAACTCCATTTTTTTTT